TGTGGCCGCGCGGTGTCGCTGTGGCCGCGCCGGGAGCGGGTCCCCGGCGGCTCTGGGTTCCTGGGCACGGGGACAGCGGSAATGTCCCTCGCCCTTCCAAGGCCTGTGTGATCTGCGACTCAGCCCTGCTCCTCGTGCTTACCTGCCCACGGCTGASCCACCTGCTCTGCTGGAAACTGTCTCTGCCCATGACAGGGGTGTTTGAACTACGTGATCTTTAAGGTCCCTTCCAACCCAAACCCTTCTGTGAGCCTATGCAGCGTTTTAGGAATACTACACACTGTTTCACAACAGCGATTTCACTGCAGGTGCATCCGGTCTGACTCCCTGCTCTTACACAGCTCTTAGGCAAGTCAAATTCCAGTATTGGCCTTAACGTGATGCAACAGAATAATACACCCGACTCTACTCCATTTCAGTTCAACAGAAAGCAGCATGCTATTAGACCTAAACAAATAAAGTCTTTAGCTAATGAAGTTTAACTGCAGCCGGAGAAGGAGATAAGAATTAAAACAAAACACATTTTAATTGAAAGTGCCAAGTGGAAGTAACAGAGAGCTGTGAGAAAGCTACTTTGTCAATAGTACAGTCTTAAAATCAGTATTTACTCAAATAGCTAACAGGAAAAAAAAAGGAAGTTCTTTGTATTGTTATTGGCCACGAATTTAAATGTAATGACAAATTGCTGAACATAATGAAGAAAAGGTGCAGTAGCTTTCTGCAGGAGAATTCAAGAAGAAGAGGGTTTGTTCATACAGTCCTGTGACACAGTGGCAGAAAGGATTGAGTGGTGTAGCAGTGGTGAAATGTATAAGAAATAAAAAAACAAAAAGCTATTGGATTTCTACCACAAGAGACAATACACTGCAATCAATATATTTGATGGACTACATTTAAACTGTAYTTGTGTAAGTAATAAACAGTGTCTGGCAAAATAGTGGGATATGGTGTGACTGCAAATGGTCACATTTGTTAGTATGTGGAGAGACTTTATAGAGATTTGGGTCACATTCTAAAAATATTTCCAAAGCTTTAATTTGTGATGCCAAAATTATTGTTGTGGGTTGGTGTTTTGGGTTTGTTTGCTGTGTTTTTTTTAAGGGGGGCTGTTATATGTAGTGGGATTTCTTTACTGATCAGTTGCTGGCTGAATAAGCAACAGCTGTAGCAGGTCACACACCAGAAACAGCTTATTTAAGTACTGCAGCTTGCTTTACCATGGTTTTCCTAAGCAAAGCAGCATCTGCTAACTTGTGTGTAGCATTGTTAATTCCTCTGGTTTGTTTTGTTTTGTTTTA